AGGAATTGTGTTGGTCCAACTACCTGGTTAGGAGATTAGTTCCCAGAATGCTTTGCCATGGTATTGAATTAAGAGAAGGAAATGTTGACAATAAAAGTAATCTTTGGTGTTTAAAGATAATAAAACGCCTTGTTAGAGTTTAATCTTCAATTTAGTTTGAAGATTTAGTAGAGTTTTGTGTAATGCTTTGAGTTTTGAGGTTACCACCTTGCAGCACCCATGCTTTGGGTGTTGGCAGCTTAACTAGCAAAAATGCAGTTTGTTGCTTTGCTTTGTGAGCAATAACTGTCCTAAAATAAATTTTGAGATCAGTTTCAGTCAACAGTATATGAAATACTGTATATCGAAATGCACAACACATAACAGACAAGATATTATCAGACTTTTGAGTTTAAGGTAAATAAAATACAGATGTATTTGAGATGTATTTGTTTTAGTCTAAAAACAGGTCTAAAATCCAGCACAGAGCGCGTTAGTTATGCACCTATGCAGACTCAAACGCTTAACACACACAGGTCGTACAGCAATAAGAAATTATTAAAATAATTAAATATATAATTAAAATATTAAAATTAATATTTTCTCCATGGATATAAAAAACACTACCTGTTTATATCTTTAACATCCGGGGGGATTTTTCAGTTTGTACATAACAATTTGCATTTTGATTATAATGTTATTATTATAACAGCATTATTTATTATCCAACCCAAGCTCATTTTGGAAATGTAGCCCCGCGGACGTTTCTGGAGACCGCGATTTACATGGCCGGAGGTACGTACGGCTGCATTTAGTTTTTTTTTGAGCGAACGCTACGGGGTGGTGTGGCCGACGGCTCGCCTCCGAGTGGAGGGCTTTCCCACCACCAGTTTTTCCGCTTAGCTCGCAGCGTTACATCGGCGAAGCGGAGGCCCGGAGGCCTGGAGGCCCGGAGGAGGAGGAGCCGGCCACGGGGACAACCGGGATCGAGTCCGGGGAACAGCGGTTCCAGAAATCAGGTAAGATGAAAAACAGAATCCAAAAAATAAGGGCAAGAACGTGGCGAGATCCGAAAACGTGGTCAAAATCAAAGACGAGGGCTTTTGCTTTTTTTTTTTTCTGGACGCCTTTTGCAAACCGTCGCTTGGGTTTAGGGAAGGAGGAGGAGGAAGAGGAGGGCGGCCAGGTCGGCTGCTCGGCCGGCCGCCCAGTCGATTGTTCGGTCGTTCAGCCAGCCAGTTGGATGGACGGTCGCTCCACAGCGGCCTCCGGCGGCTTTTCACTTGAGAACAGCGCGCGCTCCCGAGAGCTGAAAAAGCGCGCACAGCGGCCTCTCGCGGATCCGCAAAAACAAAAACTGCTCGATTACGTACCTCCCGGGACGTATTTCTCGATCCGCAGAAACGTCCGTGGGGCTACGTTTCCACAATGAGCCCGGGTTGTTATTATCTGTATATTTATATTTGTTTTAATAAAACAAGCTTAGATTTGTCCACCTCTAATTTGAAGATGTATGCTTCACCATATGGGGCATAAGAATATCACACGTGATTGGATATAACTTTTGACCACACATCGTTATGATTGTTCATTTTTCATTTGCTGGAAATTAGAACTGAATTTAGAAATAGTTTTGAAACAAATCTTTGTGCTTAACAAACAAAATTGAATATGTAGGCTAATTGATGTCTTTAGTGGAGTGCGAACAACAACATTTCTGTATCCATAAAAGTAAAGGAGTAAAGAGTAAAAGTAAAGTAAAGAGAAAGTAAAAAGGCCGAACGGAGTCTCATTCTTTATCCTCGCGCAGATAATCTGTTAGTCTCGCTAGTGAAGCATTCAGGTTTTCCATTCAGTTTTTTTACTTACAAAGTCAACCATGTAAATAGCAAATGGTGCAACTGACTCTAAAAGGGAATGGGAGATGAGACTCTGATTGGTTTAATGCATGTTATACCAATAAGTACAACCCTGTTAGACCATTTTTTCTTTCTTAAAATAGCAAAAGTGGATTCGAACAAACCATTAATGATCTTTTGCACCATTCTCTTTAGACTTTGCACTCCATATATAGAGCATAAATACTGCCATGTCTTTCTCTTGTGAGAGTCACAACCAACAAAGCCTGGCTGACCTGACGGCGATCAATACAATATTGGTAAAGCATTAAAATATGGAGTATAAAAAGCAGGTTAAAGTAACGATAAACAAATCAATATGTTTGTGACGTGTACTGTATGTTAAGAAGTGGCATATGTGATATGTGAGGCAGATATACAATATGCCAGAACATAAAACACACTCAGATTGAGACACACACACAAACACACCTTTAGAGCAAATGAGCATGACCTAAAGCATGATTCTTGCTGCCACAAGACAAACATGAGTCATGCTCAGACAGTTCTTCCAGTAACACTTCAAGAATTACTGTAACACAAACACTCACACACAGCTGGCACTGCTTAAATTAAGTTAAACAATCTTGATCAGAGGTTGAAGTCAACAACAAAAGATATAAGAGAATTTTTCCCTCCCTTTTAAAAGTTGATAAGATTATTTGTTTTGCTGTGTTACTGTAACTATGAGCGTTTATGTGATTAGTTGCACCGTATTTGCATGTAGCATTGCTTTTTCCCTGGTGTCCATGCAACTCGGAATAAACTTTTTTTCTGATCCAGCAGAAAAAACATCTGCTCAGTTTAAACCTTCTATAAATGTCTCCATTCAAGTCTTGTACTTTTGTATGTAAGTGTGTTGGATTAATACCCGAGTTTTAACATCATTACAGTACTGCTTTTCACAATATTATTAATAATATTAACACTGATTTTTTGTAACCTGTATAAAGTAGCCTACACGTGCTTCAAAGATAAGATTCTGATACACTCTCTAAAATAAAGATGCAAACGCTGTCACTGGGGCCGAACTTTTTTAAAAATGTTCAATTTGTTTGTACATTTTTTTCTGATAATGTCTGCATTAGGCATGGGATGATAACCATTTTCAAGATTTTAAAACCGCCAAACTTTTCTGCTATACCGTTTCTATGGAATATGTAAGTTTTTTATTACTTTTTTTCCCCCTTGGGCCCACCTTATCTCCAGCAGAAAAGATGTCCAAAGTTGCCATTTTAAAATACACAGAAATCAGTGTATTGAATAAGATGTATTCAGATGCCATTTGAATGATTTAGCCTGATAGGTTTACTGTTCCAGGATATTATAAATGTTTCTCAAAATAAAATATTTTGTGTTCAAAGGAGGAAAATGTTTTATAACATATCTTCATATTGCTAGGCTTTTATCAAAGGTTGTCACAGTGGAATGAACCGCCAATTACTCTTCCATATGTTTTACCGGTGGGTGCCCTTCCAGCCACAACCGAATACACTCTCAGAAATAAAGGTACGCGAGCTGTCACTGGGGTGGTACCTATTCAAAAGGTACACATTTGTACTTGAAGGGTCCATATTGGTACCTTAAAATTTTAAGAGGAACACTTTTGTACTTTTTAGGTACTAATATGTATCCTAGAGATATTAGTATGGACCTTTTAGCTACAAATTTGTAACTTTTGAAAAAGTGGCAGTGACAACTCGTGTACATTTATTTCTTAGAGTGCATTGAGAGTATACTAGCACCTGAACCCCAGTGCTAAGAAGCACCCATTCATACATTTATAAACTACAAATCAATAAATTATTGTTAATTACAAAGTACAGGTACGGTACCCAACTTTGTACTGTAGATTTCCCAGGCTGCTCAAGATGCTTTCTTTCAGGATGAGCACAGAGCTCAGAACAATCATGTTTCCAAATTTAAATAAAAGTATTTTTCATTCTATTAGCACTTACTGTACTGCAGTTTCAAGAGTGAGAACTGTGTAAGAGAACATTAAATGTAGTCTATTCAATTCAACGACAGCACATGAATGTGGAGGAACCACATTTAAAAATTAAACAACACACTTGTTCTGACAACCAGTAGCCTACAGCACGCACACACACAAACGCACGCACGCACACACACTGATCCACTAAAATACACGATTACAAACTACGGTAAATGCTAATATTTATGTATACAATTCTAAAATATATACATTTAATACGTATTTTAGTGGTTGTACTGTAATCCTTGGTTTTATTTTACTATGAAATAACTTATTCTTGTTCATGTCTAACAATTTTATCTTCATCTGACAGAAACAGACTGAAATAAAATAAATGTTCAAAACACACACACACACACACACACACACACACACACACACACCTATAGGTCTATACATTTCATCTCATATGCTGCTGTTCTTAAAAACTTAGCTGTGATGCTTTTGAGGTTTGTCTTCCTGCTTCATAACGGGGAGTAATCTACAGTATGAGTCACAATGGCGATAAAGGAATTAATTAAAGAAAGAAAGAACACTGCCTAAAGAAAAACATTTTTTTCTTAATAATGATATTGTTCTCTCCAGGGAAGAGGAACGACAGTGCGTAATGTTCGTTCATTTGAGAGAGTCAGTCGCCGCCCCACTAAAAGAAAAAAAAAATCTTATTTTTTTCTTCTATTCTTCTGGGTAGACATTAGGACCGCGCAGACTCTACGGCTGGAGCGGTACATTACTCCAGTGTACATGCCCTAAACAACGGGGAACGGGGGGATCGACCCGGAGATTTTTTTCACCGACGACTTTTTGCACTTCTAATCTGGAGGAACTGGTGTGAATGGAGTTCACGAATCCCTTCCTCAGCCCTGAGCACACTGAATCAACTTAAATCATATCTTCTCTGAACACAGAAGAGTGTGGGTCACTTTTTGGCTTTTTCCGTTTGATGAGGACCCACTGTTGATCTTGTATCCCCCTCTCTCTTTGTGCGCCCTCCCGGTTCTCCATTCGCCAGACGCGGAGCAGCAGAGCCGCATCACCATCATCATCATCAACAACGGCGCTCGCGCTGCTGCTTCTGAGTCCCTGCGCGTGCAGTCAGGACCCGTGCGACCCGCTATCCCACCACCATGAATTCGGATATTAACATGTACTTGGGACGAGAGAAGGCGGGAATCATGCGAAAAAGAGCCTTGCTACTCAGGAAGGGCTGCAGTTTCGAAATAACGAGGTGAGTTGATATTAGGTGAAGGGGATTCTTGTGGGGAGTGGGCAATTTGAGAACACCGCATCATCCGGTTACCGGATGGTAGGGTTGTAAATTATCACAGTGTGTGTGTAGAGCATCTGAGATAGACGTGTTTTACTCAAGTGTGTCGGTTTTGGACGGGCTTTCGGGGGATTTGGCATGGACATGCAGCATATTAAAGGGTCTTAAAGCTGTCACTAGGGATCTAGAGTCAACAAAGATTTACTGGCAAGACTGTCAGCAGATATTGCCAAAATAGAGCATTCAAAGTACTGAAACAGACAGGAAATATAATGTTGAAAACAGACATTACAAACAGAATTAGGAAAACATGGGCGGGTAAATAAAGAAATAAACGAATGCACAAAATCAAGGCAAAAGAAAAAAAAACTGTGCGCGCGCGCGCTTCACACGACCGATATCTTAAAAGGTGTTGTGGCTTCTTGACAGTTTAGACGCAAGTCATGGTCCATTACGCGCTAAAACATCAGCCTCTAACAGCCATAACCCACTTTTGTTCATCGGGATTCCCCAAGAACCGTCGAGGGGAGATCCAGGTTTTCTGTAGAGCAGATGTGAGATATCAGACAGCTATAGACTATGATTGAGATATGATTTTTCCTATAAATGCGCATGCATCTGAAGTATTGACCCGTTGATCTTGTGTTTGTAAGAGGATTGCGCTTTCATTGGACCGTTTCAGCAAGTGAAAGGATGTGATAGCAGTGTTAAAGCGTCTGCTCAGTAATAACACTGCATCACTGTCAGATACACCAGCACAAGGACCGGTGGTTCTGCACATGAGCTGTGTGTGTGTGTGTGTGTGTGTGTGTGTGTGTGTGTGTGTGTGTGTGTGTGTGTGTGCGTGTGTGTGTCAGAAATGGCGAGACACACAGAGACAGAGGTCACACCCCATTTTGGCTCATCACATGTACTGGGACCATCACGGCAGTATAATGGTGTGACAATATTATATCTACATATAGTAGATCATTTCTACTGAATCATTATGAAATTATAAATGCTGTAAATACAGTAGCCCAATGCACATTTGCAACTCTGTAGGTTTCAATTAGTAGCCCTATGTTGAGAAATGTTGACCTCAGTATAACACACATATTACATGTTGTTATAAACGATCAGTAGGCCTGTGAAATGCAACAGTTGACATTCTCAGATTTATAAGGAGAGCATCTGCATCATTCCACTTGTGCATGTTTGCATGCAGGGTATTAGCAGAATATGTTGGGCACTGGACACATCTGACCAAGGTGGTGGGCCCCTCAAAACGCAACACCTTATTAAACACCAAAGACTGGTTTGTTTTCACTGCTTTTTATTTTTAGAGTATTGTTGCACCCAAAGTTGCTATGCGACTTCAGTCAAGCATTACTATTAAAACATCAGGTTAAAAGTTGGTCAACAGCTTAAAAAAAACATATAGAATTAGTTTATGTTGTTTATTGCTATCAAATGTCAATCATCTCACATTCAGGATGAATAATAAAGGACAGAATAATGCAGAAAAAGAATGCATGATCAGTCCTGTTTTCCTATGCACTTCTCTTTACTCCTGAAACTGCAGCACAGTAAGTGTTGATAGAATGAAAAAACTAAAAAAAAAACTGGTGTCTTGAGCAGACTGGGAAATTAGCTGGTTATATACAGTATCTGTACTCTCAGATAAAACTGTTGCAGTAAGATCATCACGTTATTATCATCTATTTATCATCTCGTCCTGTTGGGTTTCGAATTGTGACAAGCTGATTGTAGGCAACAGTACCGGAGGACTACAAGACCAAATCTTTTTCCTTTTTAACATGGTAGGGAACAAATTGCTACAAAGAGAGGTGGCAAATGTTGTCTTTATGAATTATTAATTTTAAACAGATTCTTTCAAATTGCTTATTTATTCAGGGACACAACAAGTAACTGCCTTTATGAATGAATCACTCAAACATTTGCTCAACCAAGTCATGCAACAACACGAATGTATTCACAAACTAGACACTTGGATGGATGTAAGATTTCCAAAAGATTTCTGTAAGAATCTGAAGTGTGCTTCCAATAGACACTTAACTTTGCCATGAGGCTTGTGTGGAAAGTCCTTAACCTCTAAGTGCCGTCTGAATTGTTTTTCTAAAATGAGCATTTTTCTCAGCCTCCTATGTTTATGTTCAGTTATTTCACTTTAAAGGCAATGAAATGGATTCTTTCTTGAGTTCATTTTATCATTTCAAGTCATGGCTTAAGAACCTATCTGTTAAGAATAAAAACACACCAAAACAGATAGTTAAGTGGTCCAATAAGCTGACTGGGGTGTTCTGGAGGCTGTGGACACCAAGCAGCTCAAGAGAATTACAAATTCAATTTTAAGTGACACTGCTCATTCCCTACACTCAAAGTTTCAGCTCTTTCCTTCTGTTCCCAGGTTTTTAGTAACAAGAACTAAACGATACAGAAATAGTATCATACCAGCAGCAATTAAACATTTAAATAAGGCATAGGCTACAGCAGAGGTGTTTCTGTGACTTGTATTTGTTATGTTTAATAGATGTTCGTTTAATAGATGCTCGTCATAAAAGTCACCAGACAGCACATAAGGTTTCTGTATTTGAACTCTTCATATGGAGCTGTTTTAGACAAATTTTATGCAAATAACTGAACTTAAGCATGCAGCTCTTCTTGAATGCTCCAGATTCACTAATATAATAACAAGCGTATAAACAATTTGATGTAAATTAAGTAAGAGCTTTTCTTGAGAAGTTCAAATGTGCCTATAAATATGAATAATCTACATAATTACTATTGAATGGGATTTAGTGTCTTTATGATCATGTCATTAAGTGATTCATTTAACCAAGTCAATTAATTCAAGAATCAAACTGGCAGTGTATGTTTTGCTTGGACACTCCACAGCATATTCTGATGTGGCTATCTTTGAAAAGTGTTTAGTTTGTGATCTAAAATTGTAATAATTGGCTACAATGGTTTCTCAAAATAAACTCACTGCATACTAAACTTCTGTATAAAAACAATGCCACATAAGAAAGTGCTGACAGAGTGCTGTTGGTCATTAATGATTCACACAAACCTGAAGACTGTATAAAGCGATCAATATGCCTTAATAAATTGGATGGGCTCCAATAAATGTACCTTATTTTTTATAGAAGTTACACAAATTCTTTCTCATTTAAAACACAAATTGCATGCTTCTCAAACAAGCAGCAAATTACTCCTGTGGACCGACTTATTGTGTGCAGACAAGGACATTGATGAGGAGGAAAATGCATCAGCCCCTAACAACGTGTAGGCGAAAGGCCCACTGCTTTCACTTTATTCCTCTGTAATGTTTTATTATGATCAAATTGTTTTCTCGAGTGGCAGAGGATAACGTGATCATTTAGTTGTTTTGAAGGCTGCACACAAACACACATGCTCTGCACTGTATGACTATTTACATGAAAGGTCTGGTGAAATGCAGCGAAACTGGCTGTTTTCAATATGATGCTGTCCATTCTGGACTACTAGTGGTGTGTCTGTAACAGCTACTCTATTTTGCCTCCTTTTTATCTATACTGAACTTTCTCCTTTAATTACACACTCCTCCTTTCTCCCTTTGGGAGTTCTTTCATGCACCATTTATTTTGCTCACTTTTATCTACTTCTTTTGTAGCCTCTCTGTCAGGAATCAGTTGTAAACACCTCTAATTGGAATTTAATTCCCTTAACATCATAAATCATTCAAGACATGAAGATACCTGTTGTATATTAGCCTTTTGGGGCCTTTATAATCACTAATCTGGAGATGCACAAATCTTGGCCTGTGGACCAAAGTTGGCCCATGGTAATCTTTGATTTGGCCCACCATCCCATCTGAGAAGAGAGGGAGAATTGGTTATAGACTGTCATTTAAAATTTTTATTTGAAATTTAAAGTTTTAATTTAAATGGTTAAAATTAATCATATTTAGTTTAAAATGTACATACTGTCCCCCGATGAATAGAGGACAATGCAGGGTAACACTTTACAATAAGGTTCATTAGTTAATGCATTTACTAACATGAACTAATCATGAACAACACATGTACTGCATTTATTAATCATAATTGAACATTTACTAATGCATTATTGACATCCAAGTCCATGCTTGCATTAGTTAATGCACCATGAGTTAACATGAACTAACAATGAACAACTGTATTTTCATCAACTAATGTTAACTAACATGAATAAACACAGTAGTAGATTTATTGTTCATTATTTGTTCATGTTAGTAAATGCATTAATTAGCATTAACTAATGAACCTTATTGTAAAGTTTGACCCAATGCGGAGACTTTGGTCAGTGAATCAAGGCAAAGTCATATTCTGCTTGACTAGTGTATCCAGCACTGAACTATGCTGTTATAAATGTGATTGTTTTTATTGCAATACGTTATAATAAAAGTTATACTGCATTAGTTAATAAGATTCAAAGTAATGCTTTCTATTTATTTATAAATATTATGCAATGAAATAGAAAATCACGCATGGCAACTTTAATATAGTTTGGTATATTTATCTTTGGCCCACGGCTGTCAATGATATTTGGATTTTGGCCCTTCATACGAAAAAGTTTGGGCACCTATGGACTAGTCAAACCAACAAGAATACTAAAAACAATGTAAAGTGGAAGAAAATTACATTCAGTAAATTGCATAATCAGGAGAATCAGGGGAGTCTGGTATCTAACGCCAGACTCGCTCGTACTATTATTAAATGAAACAATGAAATATATTGAATAACAAGAGCTAATAGTGCGTTTCAAAGCAGACATGCTGTAATGCAACCACACATTCTCATTAATGTCATCATACAAATATAGCAAAGCACTTTTAACTTGAGGAAATGAGCACAAATGTTTTTCTAGGGAATTTGACAGATGGTTTTGCTTAATATTAATATAATAAGAGTGGGCTGCTCACATTCACAAAACACAAG